GCATATTGTTATACTTTTCAGTGGCATCTGTATTACGAATTTGTATAGTTTTTATTGGATTATACTATAACAATTTATATAAACTTAATAATCCTCAGTAGAATAAAAGAGAGGCGGAGTTAAGCGAGAATTTTACGATGATTAAAATATTTCTGCTGAATTTGCATATTAAAAAGGGTGAAAGATTACGAGAGTTCCTGATTATACTTACGTCGCGGTTCCATTGAAGAATATATGGAATCGGCGTCTCGTGTGGGAAATCAAGATCGCAATTAAACACCTCGTACTCTCCCACCACGGCAGTAAGATGAATCGGTTCTTTATCCTCGTCCAGCATCAAGCTGTAGCTGCATGCTGAAAAATCGGTGATTGATAAGATTACACGTTTGAAAAAAATCGCGACCGATTTTTATTGATCTAATGCATTCCGGCGGTGTAACATTGTAGATAAATGCCTGTGAGAAGACGTCGCGTGTAAAGTGATATTACACATTGGGACTAATTTCCGGAGAGATTGCGTAATTTTCCGCCGGATTATGCGTGACGATCGAGCGCGTTAACAAAATGATACGTTGTTGTTATCTATTCCTCCCCCCTTGTGCACAAACAGAACCGACGGCGACCGATTGCAACTCGAGAGTAAACAAAATTCTTTCATTTAGTTACTCCCTCGGCGTCACAGTCTCGAATTTAGCCCGCCTTTGCCTCGTACTAAATGGCAATCAGCGAATCGTGCCGTCTGCGGCCGTTACAGCCTGAGATTCTGAGTTCGCGACCCTCGTACAGCGATCTGTATATCCAAAACCGAAATTGTCTTTCCTTCTAAAAATGTTTTTGCCTCTATGTTTTGAGTGAACGTAAAAGAGACGAATTAAGTAATGCGACAAATGTATGGTTCTTCGATTTCGTACCTTCGTAGCAGAGGAAGACCGCCAGCAGCTTGTAGAACTTCGCGGCGCGAAGATTCATCGTGATTTCTCTTGCGTTCCGATCTTGACTCGTGTTTTTCACTTATATTGCGTCAACGGACGAGAGGACGCGCTGGCGGAAACGCGCTGGCGATAGGTCACACTCCGTGGCAACATCTATCATCACCCGCATTCATCGAGCACTAATCGCCACCTTCAGTGCTTCAATCGGCACGCGTCACTCTCACGCCATAAATGTACGCTTCAATCATCCTCTTCCTCGTTCCCGAATTGGCACCCCAAGACAGCTTGAC